TATTAAGAATATTTGTTTTTGTTATAAATGTATAAAAAATATATAAATTGATATTAATTTTAGTATTATTGTCAAATATATTAATTTAATTTAATGATTGATAAATTCAAGGTCAATTTTTATTTTTTCAACACAAATTTATCACAAGAAAAATGTATTTATTATCCTTCAAGTTAGAAAAATCCTTTAACAAATTATAATGTAATTAAAACTAAATTACAATGCATATATATGGAAAGACTTAAACTTGGAATTTTAAATTCAATGTTTAGGGTTTAGATTTGTTTAAAATTCAATGTTTAAGATTTGAAAAAAAAACTATGACAAAAAAATATATTTAATTATTACATTCCAAGTTAAAAAAAATCCTTAGACACATTAAAACGTAATTCAAACTAAATTATAATGCATATATATGGAAATACTTAACTTGGAATTTAATTCGGCTTGTTTTGTTGGTATTTTTTTTTTTATACATAGGAAGATTATTTACTTAGTATTACATATATTTAAAGTTTTGATTTTTTTTTTTTTGGTTTCCTGCTTGGTATCCGGGGTTTCGCCCCGATTACTTCGGACTCGACCAGCTGTGGTGCACGAGAATGGTGGGTGAGTCTCCCAACGAAGGCTGCTGCGTACACAAAGTTTCGAACTCGAGATTTTGCTTAAACTGGAACAAGCCGCTTGCCACTTGATTCAACCTCTCGTTAGTAAAGTTTTGATATTAATCCAAAATTAAAATTTTCAAGTTAGTAAATACCAATTTTGTCAAGTTTTTGCTAGTTTTTGGTTGATGATACTATTAGCTATTTCTTGTTTAAATTATAAAAATAAATTAAAATTAAGAACTTTAAAAAAGTTAAGAATAATTAAGTGTTAATATCTAATTTTTCCTTATTTTGCCTTTAGAAAGAATCAATGAATACCTATTTTTTAAGAATAAAAAGATTTCATATTTCTCATTCATCTTTTAGCTTAGGAATAATGCTATGGTAACGGAAGTCCTCCATGCCAACGAAGGCTCCGTTTGATTCCCTGTTCATTTCCATGTATATATGAAAAAGCGCAACTAGATCCTAAGCCCTCAAGTTTATAGGATTATAACTTTTAAACCCTCAAAATTAAAAGACATCATTTAAGTCTTTAAAATTAAATAAAATTATTTTAATTTAGGAAATTAAGTTTTAGATTTTTTAGGGTTTAATGTTTGTAATGTTAAGATTTAGTATTTAATGTGTTAGGGTTTATATTATGTTTTTGGGTTCAATATTTAAGGTATAAGAATTTAAATTTTTAGGGTTTAGTGTTAAGAGCATTAGGGTTTAGATTTTTTAAAATTCAATGTTTAGGTTTTAGTGTTTAGATTTTTTAGGGTTTAATATTTTAAGGTGTTAGAGTTTACAATTTTGATTGTGATTGCAATTAAAAATCAATTAGGACTAAAAAAAAGAAAAAGTTGTAAGGACTATTGGTCCCCTATTGATTTGGGGACCTTCAATCCCAATAGCAACATCCTTAATTCAAACTAGAAAAATGACTAAGATTTAATTTAAAGGAAAATGCTAGGGGGACCAACTTGAGTTTAAGCTTAAGGGCTTGTAATATTGACTTGAAGAGTTGTTAGACTAATGATAAGCTTCATGATGCGAACACTAATGAGCACAATGAGACTCACATGCACAACAAGGAATTCAAACTCCCAAGGAAAGCCAGATTTTTTATGCCACACTCAAGAATGATTAAGAATGAAAATGATAAATTAGATCAGAATGCCACAAGAACAATTTTGATAAGTTCTGTAAGTTTACAAATGAATTGAAGGAAAAAGTCTTTCAAATAATCTTATAATCAATAATCATCCCCAGTTAAGGTTACAAGCCTTTAAATAACTAAATTAGTCCAAATTAAAATAGAAAATTAGATTCTATGTGCAAATCCAATTAAAAGTAGGATTGGATATGAGCTAAAAAAGGTTTGAATATATGTTATTCCTAATAAAACATGAATTAGGCTTTAATTAAAACAATTTCCAGCCTAAATAATTAAAAAAGGAATTCAAACTCCCATGCACAAGGAATTCAAACTCCCAAGGAAAGCTAGATTTTTTATGCCACACTGAAAAACGATTAAGAACAAGAGTGATAAATTAGATCAGAATGTCATAAGAACAATTTTGATAAGTTTTGTAAGTTTACAAATGAATCGAAGGAAAAAGTCTCTCAAATAATCTTATAATCAATAATCATCCCCAATTAAGGTTACAAACCTTTAAATAGCTAAATTAGGCCAAATTAGAATAGAAAATTAGATTCTATGTGCACATCCAGTGAAAGTAGGATTGGATATGAGCTAAAAAAGGTTTGAATATGTGTTATTCCTAATAAAACACGAATTAGGCTTCAATTAAAACAATTTCCAGTCTAAATAATTAAAAAAGAACACAAAACTAACTAAAAATAATTTAAAAATCATGCTAAACATCTTAAAATAATACAAAACATTAGTTTGTGACAGATTGTGGCAGAATTGTACATTTACAACCAAATTGAGTAATTTTGATCCAAACTATGTAATTTGGCTCAAACGATCTCAAATAAGTTGTTTTTGGACTTGAATAATGTTTACTTAGCCTTGATGATCCTCCAAGCTTTGATTCACTTGTTGTGTGTTGTTCTTAGCCCAAATCTCCTCAATAAGCACATTTATAACTTCTCACATCTTCTTAGCTCTAACTCTTGTTATTGGATCTCTTTGAATATGTAATGAATCACTTGATGTCATACATGTCTTGTTGTCTTGGTTCCCATCACTTTGACATGGTCCTTTCAATAACTTTAGGATCTCTTAGCTATCAATTAAGTCTAGAACGCATTATCCACACTAAACAATTGATGATGAGATCCTTTCTTGTATTTGTTTTTCCTTCGTTCACATTTATATATCAAGGGTTTTGGGCAAGACGAAGGGCATTCTAGGCTATCTTAATTTTGAGTATGATTTCTATTTTATTATTTTCAAACAAAAATGTTTTAAAAAGTTTGGTTAAAGTGAAAAGAAAATTATTGAGTTAGATTTGAATTAAAGTAATTGGATTTTAGTATTAGGCTAAAATTAAGAATGAGTAATGGGTATGACCTATGACTCTGAGTTAAATATTTAAATTAGACTGAATTTAATAATTTTTTGATTTTTTTTTAATATTTTATGAAGAATGGGGATCTTGGTGGAGATTTGTGGGGTAGATAAAGAAAATGCCCCCATTCCCACCTGCTAAGAGGAATATTCCTTTTTGCTCTGCCTTGTGATGAGGATCTGCATGAAGCCTCATGGGTTACACAAGAATTGGGAGAAATTGCCTTGCCTAGTGACAAATTATCTATATCGTCACAAATTAAAATTGTTACGGATGAAAAGTTTAATCATAAGTAAAATGGGTATATGTGACACAAATTAACCCTTTGTGATCAATATTTTCCAAGTAACTAATAGCTGCCTTACTGTCAAAATTTTGATTGTGATAAATTTATATTATTTTTTGCAATGTTATTAGACATTCCCCCGATGGTTGGCTCGTTTTGACCATCAGGTTTGGTTCAATTGGTTGAGCCGATTCCCTCGATCGGTTCAACTGGCAACTAAAAAAAAAAACCACTTTTTTACATTTTTATTGGATTGTACTTTTACTGCTGTCTGCTGTAGAGGAAATGAGGGAAATTCTGATTTCTGCTGTTGCGTCTGTTCGGTGGAGCAGGAGAAGAATGGCAGCGGTAAAGGAGATGAGGAGGAGGAGGAGGGCAACGAAGAAGGAGGAGTTTTGCTTTGCTGTTTTTGTTCAGTGAAGGACGAGGAAAATTCTGATTTTGCTGCTGCTTCTGTTCCGTGGAGCAGGAGAAGAAGGGCAGCGGCAAAGGAGATGAGGAGGAGAAGGAGTGCAGTGGCAGAGGAGATGATCTGTTCTGTAACTTCAGTTTAGCTTTGTTGCTTTAGTTCAGTGAAGGAAGGAGAAGCCTAGAAGGAGCTGATCGGCGGAGGAGATGAGGAGGAGCTGCTTGGCGGAGGAGATGAGGCAGACTATCTGTTCTGTTTCGCTTTGCTGCTTCTGTCCTGTCCAGTGGAGTACGGAGAGGAAGGTGAACGGTGAAGTGGTGCTCGGTGGTTGCTCTGTTCTGCACTTCTGTTTCTGCTTTCTTCTATTCTAGATCTGGACTTCTGGTTCTGGGTTTTGCAATTTGCAGAGTTTCCTTTGTTAATTTGTTATTTTGTTTCCCACTTTCGCAATGGTCTCAGGGTTTTTCTTATGATCTTCTAATTTTTAATTCAAGTGTTTGGTTTTTTTATTGTAATAACATTTAAAAAGATGGATATAATGGGTAGAATATATTAAAAAAAAAAAAAAGGGTTAAATGACATGGACGAAATTCAGCTCGGTCGGCTGGAAGGGCCCACACGGGTTCAGTGGGCTTAACGGGTGGGGCGGGTTTCAACGGGTTTCCATGGACCATTTAATAAAACGGGCTAATGTATTCAGCGGCTCGTTTTCAAGTTTGAGTTCGGTTGAACCGGTTGAACCGATCAGACCAAATTAGGCTTAAAAACATTGGTTTCTTGTCACAAATCTTTTGTGATTGAATGTAATTTTTATGTCAAAATTAAATATTCCAATTTTGAAAATCAATATTAACAATCAATATCTTGAATTAGTAACAAATGTTAAGGATTATTGAGCAGTCACTATTTTCTATCACAAAATGTCCATTTTCTTGTAGTGAGGGGAGACGCTTGGATAAGGTGTTGTACTAGTTCCTTTGAGCTAATTGTATTCCATGACTCAAATTGGGCCTTTGCACCCAAACTCAACAATCAACAACTAGGTTCTATATTCTCATTGGTGATAACCTTCTGTCTTGTAAAAGCAGGAACCAAAACGCATTCTCCCTCTCCTCTACAAAAACAGACTTTTGAGCCTCGGCAACTACCACCAAAATTGTTTTGTTATGCCACCAAAACTTTAAGGGTCATTTTCTTTGAAATTTAAAAGTTGAGGGACTATATCAAAATTAGCCCATATTTCTGGCATTTGACAGTATGAGGTTTGCGCCTTTGCGGATCTTGGTTCCATAGAAAACGAGGCCAATTTAATAGTCTCCTATGTGTTTGAGGGCTTAAATGCAACCCCAAAAAGTACAAGGGCTTAAGTCTGACTTTCGCGCAAGTTCAGAGACACTTAAGTCATAATTCTGCACGTCTGCCGTGTGTTAACAGGAAAATATAGTTGCCTTTATTTAATTATTTATGATTAACCGATAATTGAGATTAGAGGACCCACCACGAAGACATTGAGTGCATCCTTCTTCTTCTTCTTCTTCCTTTTTTTTTTTATTTTTTAACAGATTTTACAAGGGTTGGGTTCGAACCCCAGCTTGGGGGAGGGGAGAATGCACCGTGGGTGGCTTTTGCCGCTTGACCCAAAGGGCTTAGTGCATGAGTTGCATCCTTTTTTTTTTTTTCTTAGAGAAAGTGAGTTGCATCTTTTTTGTCAGTGAGCACAGTCATAAACATTCACTGGAAAAGAAAAACTCCCCAACACTTTCACTGGCAACGTGTATGCTTGACTTAACGAGTAAATGGAAATTCTATTAAACAAAAGGTTCGATTTTTGGAGAAGCCACCAATAGTAATTGGTTCCTCCTTAATCAATTCTGATGAGTGTATATGTATACATTGGAGGGGTTTACATTAACTGTTTAAATATATTTAATAATTAATATTTTTTTTGTCTTACAATAATTATTCTATTTTAATTTTTTTATTAAATTAAAGATTTAAAAATTATTTATGTACGTATTTATATTATTCTTATTAAAAATTAAAAAG